ACTCTCGGTCTCTGCTCAGGTCACAACCTCACGGTTTGCCAAGTTCGAGCCTTTCAGGCTCCGTGCTGTCAAGTATGGAGCCTGCTTAGGATTCTCTCTCTCCCTTTCTCTGGCTTGTACTTTCTCTCTCTCAAAATAAATAAATAAACTTAAAAAAGTTGTTTTAAATTATCCCCTCTTTTATTCTATATGTTGCTTTTTCCATGTAGATATAAAACAAAAACAAAGGCTGTCTTCTAGCTTACTGATACACAAACAAGAAGTATAGATAAACCCGAATAAATGTTTCTGAAAGATAAAGTATCCCATAATGTCTACAATTAGACTACACAGAAGAAGCCATTCTCTCAGAGAACAGAGGCAGGTTATACCAGGAACTTAATACCACAGCTAATCAGTGTAATTTTAATGGGTTTTCACTATTACAGAAGGCACTCCCTCAAAATTTACCTTTATTTACCTGCATGGGGGTTTCTTTAAAAAAAGACAAAAGGAAAATTATGTCTCATATTCAACCAAATATATCATAAACATCTATGTAATACAAAGTGGCCATAATCCAAAAGAAACAACTTTGTACTGAACATCTCATCTATATAGCCAAAGACCAGTGACTTAGAAACAATCAGGAACACTGAGTCTATGCTTAAGCAAATTTAAATAAAAGCCCAAAGTGGCACCTGGGTGGCTCAGGCAGTGGACCGTCAGACTTTGGCTCAGGTCATCATCTCACAGTTCCTGGATTCTAGCCCCACATCAAACTCTCTGCTGTCAGCACAGAGCCTGCTTTGGATCCTCTGTCTTCCTCTCTCTCTGGCCCTCCCCCACTCATGCTCTCCCTTTCTCAAAAAGAAACATTAAAAAAATATTTTTTAATAAATAAATCAAGCCAGAAAAAAGAGGTGATTCTCTAAAAGACAACAGTTTCTATCACAAATAGAGCAGCTGTTAGCAAGCTCTCTTGCTCAACTACAGAGCCCAACTGTTAAAACCAGAAACAGATAAGACCGATTAACTGATGCTCTAACGAAAACCCGCTGTGCTTATTTCTTACCACACTTTCTTAAGGCACGGACGAAGACATTTTGCAAAGACCTGAAGAGCCCAACCACCAGACCAGAAAAGCCTTGATAACAACATCCCACTCGTCCTCTTCCCTACCCATGATGGTGGGCTGAACACATACTGACCCCCATCCACAATCACCCACTCCCTGCCTGCTCGCTTGCACGTGTCCTCCCAACCTCTCTCTCTAACTCTGAAGGTGTCCATCCTGCTGGTGGAGGGGTCAACGTTGGCGAACCCACCCAAGAGCTGTCCAGTCCCTCCCCTCCTCCCCAGGGATTCCTGGCACCAAACAATTGGCCCCAGTAGCACCAGGGCTCACCCACTCATTCCGAGTTAGTGGCAGTGACAGATCATTCAGTAACAAAGCTAGTCGTACACAATCTTAAATTCACCTTGCCTTACATCCAGAGATAACAAATGTCATGTGAGCTTGTAGTCCCACCAACCATGGGATATAAAGCACTGGTTCAAAGTGTGGTCCTGAGACCAAGCACAGAGGCAGCAGCATCCTGGAGTGTGTTAGGAACACATCTTCTCAGCCTCCAACTCCACTTCCCGAATTAAACACCTGACGATGAAACCTAGAAATCTGTAGTTTAACAAGCCCTCCAGGTGATTACAATGAATCAGTAACACTTAAGAGCCATTGGTCTAAAGATTCTCTTTGAGAGCATCTCCTTAGGATTCTCTAAAGAGAACCTTTACCTGAGCAGACTGCTACAGGTCTGAACTACCTAGGCTCATTAGTAATTTCTTTCCACAGACCGAAAGTAATGCTATTCTCTTTGGCATAAGCAATGGCAGTTGGATGTCCCACAGTTACAAGTATAGCCTTCATTTATAGTAAATCCCTAGGTATTAATTTTAAATTAATATTTAAATTTAAATATTACATTTAAATTTAAATGAAGAGAAGCTTTCTGGATATCACAATGAGTAAGTACTCTACTCTAGTCCATTTATGTTCTCACTTCTATGTTTAGGACCCAAGGCCACAAATGAATCCTGGTAAAAGTCCATCAGTAATATGAGAGCACAGGACGGTGCACACAGACAGGAAGGGCAGAGGGAGTAGAAGGGAATAGAAGAAAAGAGAACAAATGGGGGGGGGGAGGGGAATCAAGACCAAAAGCCAAATTGTAGAGTACTCTCACCCCTAGATGTAACTCTGACTCATTTATCGTCAACAAAAATGACTCATTTTGGGTGCTTATGTTCCCTTCTTTCCAACATCAAGCATTATAATTTTATAATTAAAATAAAAGTACAGGGGGCAGGCTGTGGAGACAAACATATTAAAGGAGATTACACTGTAATGCTAATTAATATATTACAGACGATGTCTAGACTGAAATGTTTTTGCATTTTTGGCATCCTGACTTGTAAAATTCAACAAAAGCAACAGGAAAGCCTGAATCCAACCAAATTATGCTCCACGATAGAATAGCAAAGCAAAGCCACAGTTATGCACCAATGTTACAAAGCTCTGAAACCACAGCAAAAACTAAATTATGATGGAAACACTAATGGAAATCACATTTTTCTCAGAAGACATAATTTTCTTAAAATTTCATTTCTAGGTTTGATTTTCCTTATTTCAGAACCCAAAAGCTTACCAACAGATCTCATTGAAAATGTGGGTTGCTGAAGAAACTTTAAAGGGCAAAGTGCTAAAAAACCTACATATACTTGTCATCAAAGTATAATGGTACATGTTGGGCAATTTAGATATAGTAGGAAGAGACAGATTATAGGACATGTATGGACTGAAAACTGTGACTACTTTTATACTATTTAAAATAAATTATATTATTTCACATTTTATCCAAATGGCCTATGTAAGAAAGAAAAATCTCTCAATAATATATATTGTTGTGTTACAGGGGGGCTCAGTCAACTGACTGTCCGGCTTCAGCTCAAGTCCTGATACGGGGCTCGTGGGTTTGAGCCCCGTGTCAGGCTCTGTGCTTTCAGCTCGGGAGCTGGAGCCTGCTTCAGATTCTGTTTCCCTCGCTCTCTGCCCCTCCCCAACTCGTGGTTGGTCTCTCTTTCTCTCTCTCTCTCAAAAATAAACATTAAAAATCTTTACAAAAAAGATATATTGTTACAAAAAAATTTTTAGTAAAGTTTTATGCAGCTGAACCAGAGAAACAGTACATGTATGAAGAGTCTGTGTCCTTTACGAATCAATTGTAATGGTATTTTCTGGAGTTTAGGTAAACCTTTATTACCTGGTGACTTTCTTAAATCCCCTGGCCAAGAGAAAACATTAAAAGAGTTTTTCTATTTTCTGCTGGGTGATGCAGGAAAGATATTAGAGAGACAGGCATGGATAGTCCTCTCTACTTCCCTGTGTCTTCAAACTCTTCAGCAAAGGTCAGCTAACCTCCTAGTCACTAAATCTGAGACCTTTCCCTCAGACACTGTAGTGTTTCCAGAGGAGAGAATGAGACCTCCATGTCTCACACCCTAAGAGCCCAGTGCTGATATTGTTAATTTCATTACTCCTCAGAGCCACTTCTGCACCATTCTTCCTCTAGCCCTCATAAAAACGCTTGCTTACGTAAATTCAAATCAACAATACCACGTTCTACTATCTACTTCTCAATTGCCTCTTGCATTAGTCACTTCTCCCTCCTTCATTGAGACTTTATACCCCTCTATCAGTCCTCCTATGATAACCTCAAAGCTTGCTGTTCAGTAGCCTCTCTATTCTCTGGCCTCAGTATCAACAAGGAGGTTCCCTTCCACTGCCGTCACTTGTTTAATGTATGTCCTCCATGCTAGACTAAGCTCATGAAGAGGAGAACCAGAGCTGTCTAGTTCACTGCTGAATCTCCTGCACACAGCACAGTGTATACTCTTAGTTGAATAAGGAATTCTCTCATCCCTACTAAATGTAAAAATTAGGAGCTACTACAAAGCCTGTGTAGCTCATAAGAGAACCAACAGGGATAATAAAATGTCTGAGAATCATTTATGACCAACAGTCAAAGGATGTTTTAACCAAAAAAAGTATTTGTTGGATGATGAATAACTAAGGTAAAGTGATAGCTACTTTTTTTTTTCATTTTTTTTAATAGTTTGTTTATTTTTGAGACAGAAAGAGACAGAGCATGAGTTGGGGAGGGGTGGAGAGAGAGGGAGACACAGAATCTGAAACAGGCTCCAGGCTCTGAGCTGCCAGCACAGAACCCGATGTGGGGCTTGAACCCACAAACCACAAGATCATGAGCTGAGCCTAAGTCGTATGCTTAAACCAAAGAGTTGGACCTTTTGGGTTCCAAACATTCTATTTCATTCATGCCTAATAGTGCTCCAGGGGTAGAAAGGAGCCCACCAAGGGTATTATAAGAAGGCAACATGAAGACCAAAAGCTGTCAAGATATGAAGGTTCCTTATAAAAATAATCTCTAAGAATACTAAGGTACTTAATACACAACTGGACTTCATCAAAGTCAGCGAACTATAACCCCTGAAGCAGTCACTGTTTCTGTTAAAAAAACTTTTACTGGAATATAACCATGGCCGTTAGTTCAAGGACTGTCTGTGGTAGGTTTTTCCTGGTACGACAGCACAGCTGGACAGCTGTCAAATTAACCAAATGGCCCACAAAACCTAAAGTATTTACTGTCTGGTGCCTTAAGAAAAAGTTTGCTGGTCCTGAAGTATATGACATACAAAGTTCATTTTACATTATTATTCACTGGAGATGCAAAAACTTGGATTAAAATGCTCTTAAAGAGAAGGTAGGGCTAAAATGGGGGAAAAAAGAATAAGTAAAGATAATGGGTCAATATATGGTCTTACTTCACCTCAGTGATTACACTATTTCTCTCCTTAAGCTAGTGGATGGCTCACCTTCCAGTCTCTGCAATCTTCTTTTCCAAGAATACCCAAGATAAAACAAACACTAAAGTTTTAACACGTACCTGCCCTCCTTCACTTTTTGTGCATTCCCTCGACATATGTAGTTTTCAATATAACCAACACTGCAGTTGATTTTTGACCAATCTGGGTCACAAACATCCAGGAAGTGAGGCCGCAGTCTGCCTATTGAATACTTGGCAATGTCAGTCAGGGACTGACTAGCACCTGCACCAAATAAAAAGGTTCCAATGGCTTTGTAAATAGTGGCTATGTAGTTATTCCTGATAAAGGAATTCGAGTGCAAGAGGTTATAGTAAACAGACAGGGCCTCTCCAACAATCATCTGAAAAAGAAACAGAAAAATAGTATGTTAAAGTGGAAACCAGGCACTTTAAACAAAATAGAAAATAGAAAACAAAATGATAAATCACAGTAAAATCTGTATTTTAAAACCACCGGTTGTTTTTCATTTGCAAATGGAGAGTCAGTTAGGATAGCTAATTCTAAACCATGAAAAAGGGCTCTAGATGAATTGTGCATACTGCTTAAAAAGCAATGGCCAAAACAATCTCAAAGTCTACCTGAAACAACAGACCTTACTTCTTTTCTTGTACTCAAATACAGTGGGTTTTAAAAAGCAGACAATGATGTATCACGGAGGACAAAACCCATGTTTGTTAAAAGAAGACAAACTTCCTAAATTAGAATGTCCCTTATATAGTACTTTTATCTGGCAGTCCTAATTTTTATCAAACATTCCTCTGAGTCAAACATATTCATCATATCTTCAAAAGTAAAACAGTTTCAGGGAGTAAACTAATATAAAAGCAGAGGTCTAACACGGAGGCCAAAGGGTACAGAGGGCATTGATCTGCTGACACAGCCTCCCAGTCCCGCCTCTGGAGACTCTAGGCCTGGCTTTCTTAACAAGTCTCATTAACTGACCAAACGTACATTTGATGGTCTCCTTGTCCAAGAAAACATTTCAAGTGAGTGACTCTTTCCTCTTTATTTTTCACTGACTTTGGTTTTCACTAAAAGTAGAGACAACAATGCCCCCCTAGATTCCAGTAGAGCATGTATCAGCACATGCCACTGTAGTGAGTTTAAAGGCATAAAATGACTTCCAAATACTTGACCAGCTCACAGAGCAAAACCCTGAGAAATCCAAAAAATACTGAAAGTCAAAATTGTAAAAAACTTACATGTGCTGATAAAAACAATCCACATTCTAGCCACTTGAGACCAAAATAAATAGTTAAACGACAAGAGTCAGCTTGCTTATATTGGGGGAAGTGGGGAGATACAAGTCACAAAGCTGTGCTTAATATATAAACTAGTTTTGTGGCTTTGTCTTAAATTTTCATTAACAATTTTACAGAAAATTCAAACATTCCATTTAGTGGAGATAATTTCCAATCATCTTCAGGGAAGGCCTTATCATAGGTAAGATAAATAGGTAAAATAAATGATTGTCTTCTGAAAGAGATTTCTTCATCTGGCTCCATGGCTTCTAGAATTCCACAATTAGAATGTTAAAACTCTGACAAATAGACTATGAATTCTACAAAAGCAAGAACAAAGTTTTACTCATTGAATAGAAAGCTAGTACCACCATGGTGGCCTAAAACAGAGCAGGTGGTTAATAAATTTTAATTAAAAGTGATGCCTCTTAGGTAACAGGTAAACACCCTTAGTTTAAATATTAAGCCCCACAGAAACACATTCCTCATTATAGTGCTTGACATGAATGACTTAATCAGATCCTTTTCTCAGGAGAAAAACCATATGCACTTCTAGGGACACCACACCTCTGCCATTTTGCTTAGGGTTCTCCCCCAGTGCCTCTAGTGGCCCTGTATACACTGTCTCCTCTGACTGTTAAGGTATTCCAGCAACTGCGTTGGTAGATCACAGATCAAGAAAAGACTTCTCTCATGTTTCATTATGGAACTGTTCTTTGATCATTTAAAATATATACCAATCTGAGCCGCTGAAATATTCATAATATTCACACCTCAGCTATCAGCTGTTCATCTTGCATAAGCACTCAACTGTTTTCCAACTCTTGATCTTTGGGAGTTTTCCTAGGCATGATGATCATTCCTTAGGGCCACTCAAACCCTGGTCTTGACACTGATGACAACAAATCAGCTCACTAGAATTCAGAGTACTGGGCACAGATGACAAATTGATTCACAGAAGCAGTGTAAGCTGAAACTTAAACCTAAATGGTAGGGCAGGGCGGAGAGACGCTAAAGCCGACAAATGCTAGGTCGGTGTGCATCATTTTTTTATTGATGTACACTCCATCTTAACTGAGAGAAATAGGTAATAGATGAGTTCTTAACTAATTTTCCAAATTAAATGTCGGGCTGTGTCCGTGCATTTCACTACACATGACAGCCATATTTTCATTTTAATACATTATCTTCCCCTTTGAGCCTAAATTTATGCCAATGTTTAGCCTCTGGTGAAGTCCACACTTAAGCTAACTGTAGTGTTACTTTAGAGCTGGGATCACTTGTTACACATCATCTGAACTGCAAAGATATGATAAATTATTAAAGAACTCAAGATAAAGTTTGGGGGACTAAAACAAAATACTCTGAAATATCAACGCTAATAATTACCTAAATCCATGTAATTCAGTCACTTAAAAACAACCTATGCACCACACTATTTTCTCACCATCTCCTTTAAAAATCTATCAACCAAAAGGATTTACACATCTCTACACTGTCCCTGTATTATGTGTCTTCCACTCAGGGCCCAGCTTTCCAAAAGTGTACTCTAAAATCACCGGTGCACTTCTACTCCTTCCTAAATATCTCTAACTACCTTCATTCCCATTATTCTACTGAATCTTTTTCCAAAGTCAAAATGGTCTCATCGGATTGAACAGGTATGAAGTCTGAATCACAGTCCCAATTTTTTTTTTAAAGAACTGATTGACTTTCTAGTAAATAAAATTAAATGTTTACATGTTTAAACAAGTGCTGCCTGAAAGAAGTGGAGTTAATGAACAAAGTGAATTTTTTTTGTTAGTACATACAACACTGCCCTGTGCAATATTTGTTGATATGCAAATAGAACTTTGATAGCACCTTTAAGCAGTATTTTTTTTTTTAACAAACCTACATTCAATGTATTTGTTTTATGAAACATAAAGATAACTTTCTCACAGCTGATGATGAGTCAAAACTTCCAAATTAATGAAATATAAATAACTCCTTGCTAAGTGTTGTGTCAGGCCCTACCCTTGATGGACAGGCCACACCCCCACACTGGCTGCCCGCAGTTAGCACCCTATCCTGCCGCAGGTCTTAGATCTCTAATGGATTTCTGTAGTTCTGCTGGTTCAGCATCCCTTTTAGTGAGACACAAAGTCAAGGAGAACTGGAAGACAAATACTTCTGCAGCAGCATTAGAGTACTCCAAGGGACAATCCTGCATGAACTCAGCTACTAAGCTGACCCTTGAACAGCACAGGTTTGAGCTGAGCAGGTCCACTTACACATGGATTTTTTTTTTTGATCAATACAATATGGTACTGTAAATGTATTCTCTCTTCTTTAGGATCTTACTTTTTCTTTTTTCTAGCTTACTTTATTGTAAGAATATGGTATGTAACACATGTAACATACAAATTGTGTGTTAATTGACTATTTAAGTTATGAGTAAGGCTTCCAGGTAACAGTAGGCTATTCTTAGATAAGTTTGGGGAGCATCAAAAGCTGGAACATAGATTTATGACTGCACTGGGGGATCAGGGTTCCGAATCCCCACCTTGTTCAAGGGTCAACTGTATTTGCAACGAAGTATCCTACTAAAAATTTTATATTCAAAGAGCACCTCAGAAACATACATCCTTAAAAAAAAAAAAAAAACCCTACTCTTACTGACTCCTTAAAGGAACAATCATAGGTTGGGCTTTCTATTAGTAGTAAGAATTCAGTGCAAAAGATGTGTCTAGATCAAAGGGATCTGCTGATTTCTTAAAACTTCACCACACTGCAGGAGAGCCAACCAGGATTACTGTGCAATTACTCTTATTTCATCTGAGCACCTAGGACATGCCAGGTTCTATCATGCCCAGCTCCATGGCAGGCAGCAAGAATACCAACAAAAACATGGCACCATCTCTGACTTCCAGGAACTCACATTCTCATGGAACAAACTTGTTTATGACAGAGGTTTTCTTTTATTAATTATGTACCACAAATTATAAGTTGATCAATTCTCATTGGTAATAAGGAGCTGCGATCATTCTTGAATAAAACATTAAATTTCTAGGAGCACTTGCCTGGCTCTGTCAGTGAAGCATCTGACTCTTGACTTCAGCTCAGGTCATGATCTCATGAGGTTTGTGAGATTGAGCCCCATGTCAGGCTCTGTGCTGACAGCATGGAGCCTGCTTGAAATTCTTTCTCCTTCTCTCTGCCCCTCCCCTGCTCATGCTCCCTCTGTCCCTCTCTCTCTCAAAATAAGCGTAAAAGAAAAATTAAACTTATAAATTAAGAGTTTTGGTTTTTTTTTCAATAAACTCCAAAATAGACAAGACATATATGTTATCTTGTTGGCCTATCTCCTGGAGGGGACCATATTCTCTCCTTTAAACCACATATATCTTTTTTTTAAATTACAAGTTATGGAGCATAAGACTATTTAATCTAAGTCAAAGACTGTCTAGGTCAAGAAATTATAAAATAATCTAGTCCAATCACTTTAAGTCTTCTACCTGGAGCACATTCTCCAGGCATTCCCACCTGAAATCCTAAAAACAATAGGACATAATACTATTATCTTTCAGTACTAGTAAAATTTTTGTTCACTACTAATCATATACAGAGCTTTAGCTGTTCTCTCTAGCTTCTGCCATTATTTAAAAATTTTGGGGGTGCCTGGGGTGCCTCGGTTAAGCGTCCGACTTCGGTTCAGGTCATGATCTCACAGTTCATGGGTTCGGGCCCTGCGTCAGGCTCTGTGCTGACAGGTAGCTCAGAGCCTGGAGCCTGCTTCGGATTCTGTATCTCCCTCTCTCTCTGACCCTCCCCTGCTCACGTTGTCTCTCTCTCAGAAATAACTAAAACATTAAAAAAATTTTTTTAATTCTTTAAAGTGACAGGGGTTAGAATGGAGTCTTAAGATTAGTTATTTCTGTTTTTTAGAACTCAGCAACTAGAAGGTAGGTACATACACATTGATTCCACAAATTATAAAATACCCTAGGTATAAAGTATGCTAAAAACATACTGCTATAACATGCATCTATTTCATGATTACTGCACCAACAGCAAATTAGAGCTCCACACGTCACAGGGACTCCAAAAAAGATTAGTA